AGAGCAGCCCTGAGGAGAAGGACTTGGGGGTACTGGTGGATGAGAAGCTCAACATGAGCTGGCAATGTGCAGTTGCAGCCCAGAATGCCAACTGTATCCTGGGCTGCATCAAGAGAAGTGTGGCCAGCAGGGTGAGGGAGCCCCTTTGCTCTTGTGAGACCCCACCTGGAGTCCTGCAACCAGCTCTGGAGCTCCTAACATAAGAAGGACATGGATGTGTTGGAGCGGGTCCAGAGGAGGGCCACAAAGATGATGAGAGGGCTGGAGCACCTCTCCTATGAGGACAGGCTGAGAGAGATGGGGCTGTTCAGCCTGGAGAAGAGAAGGCTCCGGGCTGACCTTATAGCAGCCTTCCAGTACCTGAAGGGGCCTGCAGAAAGGATGGAGAGGGACTTTTCACAAGGGTGTGTAGTGATAGGACAAGGGGGAATGGCTGTAAACTGAAAGAGGGCAGGGTTAGATTAGATATTAGGAAGAAATTCTTCACCAGTAGGGTGGTGAAACACTGGCACAGGTTGTCCAGAGAAGCTGTCACAGGTTGCCCAGAGAAGCTGTGGCTGGTGTTCAAGGCCAGGTTGGATGGAGCTCTGAGGAGCCTGGTCAGGTGGAAGATGCCCCTGCTCATGGCAGGGGGGCTGGAACTAGAAGATCTTCAAGGTCCCCTCCAATCCTTACCATTCTGATTCTGTTTATGGATGTCATGCTTGAAGTGAAGGGCATACGGTGAGTTATATCAGCAGCTACAGCAATACAATTTTACGTAATGAATTTTCTGTTTTTAAAGACTGGCATTCTAACCATCTTGTGTGTTTGAGGGGTTTTTAAAATTAATGTCTTTGTTCATTTGTAGAATGTCATACTCAAGAAATTTGCCAAACAAGCCATTGGTCAGCTTACACACGTATTCGTATCAGTGTGGGGGGGGGGCAGTTTGCTGTCCTTTAGCATTTTATAGCTACACACAATATTACTTTTTAAATTATCTTTTTTAGGAATATAAACACGTCCGTTTTTGTAATGGACAAAATTTCCATCTAGCCCAGAATCCACCGTTTAACAGTGGACAATAACAGATGTGTATGGAAAAGTGTACAGTCCCAGGCTCCAGCCACTGATGTCTCAAGTACTTCCTGTGCTTGAGGTTGTTTCTGTGGACTCAGAAGATCATTTCTCTGAAGTCTACTGTGAACTTTCCCCATCTCCTTGTGAGACTATGGACTAATATTTGCAGCATCCTTATTGCAGGGTGTTCTACAGCTTAACTGTATGTTGTCTGGAGAACTGTATCCTTTAGTCATAATTTTTAACTTCATAATTTTTTAATACAGGTGGATTTTTTTTCAATATACAAATGAGACATTCTGTTAATATAACATTAAGGGTTAGAGTTTTGTCCATATCATATAAATACATTTGTGTTTTCAGTTCTTGGCTCCGAAAGAAAAGAAAAATGAAACTCTGCCTCCCACAGATGAAGGTGGTGATGTTGATGATTTGGTGAGTACCATAAAGACAAGGTGTGGCTTTAGAATTAAACTGTAACTGAAAGGTGCACTGAGAGAGAGCGAGTACTTAAAGCAGTAGATTAGAGTGCATGGCTTAGAAAACACCTAAGGAATTGAGTCAGAAGAGCGCCACATGAAATTACTTATTTGCTATTGTAAAACATAACCAGGTGTGTAATTTCATGATGGCAAATACTATGTTATGTAGTAACACAGATGTTTACATAGGTTAAGTGTGTCCTCTAGTGTGTTTGAAAAGAGCCAGTGAGGCTGCTCATTTGATAGCAGATTGTTATAATTTACTATAATAGCATTTAACAAAGCTTGTAGATCTAGAACAGTATTTGTGGGTTGAAAAGTGAAAATTATTTTTAAAAAGATGCTTTAATCTTCTCAATTAACACCCTCTATATAGGCTTGCTGAAATCCAGGGAATTCAAGAGGTTTTTTAATAAATATTTTAGCTGTTTTTTGCAGGCTGAGTCATTACAAATCTGTCTCCAAGGCTTAAGCTGATAGTGTAGACAGTATTAAAGAAGATTCAATAGCAGGCAGATTTCTGCTTTTGGACTGTACTTTTTTAAATCTATAAATTGCACATATGATTATGTGAAGATGAGATTGTAAGGTTTGTTTTTGTACTTCATAGAACTTAATATTAAGCTGCTATACAGTCAATTTATGTCGGACAATAAGGATTTCCAAGTTTGCGTTGTTTTCTAAGCACTAAACACACGTAAGAAATAACCTGAATTCAATGCTGCTCCTTCCAAATCTGTTTCTTCTATTTGCAGCTCGACATGATGTGACTGGATGATATATGGTGACTATACGTGCGAAGTTTTGGAAGAGATCTCCCTGTGAGATGGGGCACACAACAGGATGCTGATAAGAAGACAGTATATACATCTTTATTTTCTCGAATGAGAGCAGAAGTCTCAGAGACATTTGCAGTTGGCATAAATGTCATCTGACTTTTCAGAACTAGAACTGAAGATTGAAGTAATCTTAAGTATTTGTCAAGTGAAGCTACCTTTAAGGCATCTCTATTTATTTTTTCTTTAGCACACTGAATCTAGTTTATCCTTGATATTGCTTTCAGCCAAACAGTGCTAAATTTAAACAGAATCTACACTAATGCCTGAAATTCACGTTACATTGCCTGGGAAGGAAGACAGAAATGTCACAGTGTGGTTACCAATTAATGCTGAATCTTTAGTGGAGGTAACTCCATAGCATTATTGTTACAGAAGGGAATTGTATTTTTATGCTTTTTTCCTATTAAAAAAACAGAGCAAAAAACGTCCCCAAAGGCTTATGGGAAAAAATTCTAGGCCAAGGAGTCACAAAGCAATAGTTTGAAATATGCAACAGAATCTACAGCACACAGCAAAGCAGAGTGTGCCGATTTTGCCACACTGTACTCAAATCAGTAATTACGGTAATCTCTGTGCTTCAGGCTCTCTATCCTGTCAGCTCAGCAGCAGCTGAACAGTCTCTGTCCCTTTCTGTTATACATTCTCCTGTTTCATATGCTGGGATTTCTGATTTTTTTAGACTTTTAACTAATACGGTTACTGTAGATACTCCTGGTGCTAAAAGGCCAAATGAATCAGTTATATGCCCATTTCATACACAGCAGATAACTGCTACAGAGCAGAAGAATCCATGAAAGCTGTACACTGATAACTGTGATAGATAACTGATAGGAGTCTACATGGGTAACCAAAATAGAGTACTGTCTACACAGAGCAATCCAAAGTAGTCAAATACTGCTTAGAAAGAGATACTCAGATTTGATTACAGATCTGGAGAGACATTAATGACACCTTCACAGATGCTTGTTTGTTACCACCAGATTCATTCCTATAAAAGCTGTTCTTTCATTATTGCAAATGTGTAAACATACTGTGCAAAATGATATTAAGATCATAAAAAAGAACAAAATCATGAGCTGTAGTTATAAAATGTTTTGGAGTATCTGCACTTTGTACTGAACAACAGCTCCTATGTGGGAAAGAGCAATTGCTTTTTGCCTCTACCCCCCTACACAGCGACCTGCTTTCTCCTCTCTTACATCCTATCCTGATTGAGTTCATGCAGACCTTGAAAGGCTTTCTAAAATGCAGATGGCAGGGAGTAAGTGATCTTTCCAGATCTTTATAGCATTTGTGTCACCAGAAGATATTTTTCTGAAATGTAAATATGAACTATTTGGTCAGTCCGCTGTTTTGAATGTCTTTTAAGGAAATTTTCTAGAGTATAACACTGGCTGGGGTTTTTTTTACATTTTATTAATTTGTTCAATTAATAAAATATTCTAAAATTTGCTTTTTGTCATCTTCAGACTGATGTTTGCTAAAATCAGATGATTAACTGCCTATGCAGTACCTAAGAGACACTATGAAACCCCTTTTTCTGGGCATACAGTGTAAACACCGAATATCAAAAGCTCTTTACAGAAGCAGAGTGTAATTACTTGTTCTATTCTTTACAAGCTCTAAACTTCACAACACTCTGATAAAATAATTTTTACCATTTTGCAGAAGATGGTGAGAAGTCTTGGTCAAGACCAGACAGGGTACAGAATTACTTTGCAAATCAGAATAAGGCATGGAGCTTTCTGTTTCTTTTGGACTAGTTGACCACATTTTTAGAGAATATTTCTTCTGTCAAGCAATAAACATTTAGTTCATGGAGTATTATTTCATAGATCTGCTTGTTACCTGCACAGCACATTTAGGCTCAGTATGATAACTGAGTTGCTAGTACTGAAGAGGGGAATGGGAATTTATGACTCATAGTCATAGTGAAAGCGAATTGTTAGAAGGCAAGCAAAGTGTCTCATTCTGCCCAGCCTTCTGGCTATCAGTCACCAGAAGCTTTTAATACATCTTGCTTAGTCTGTCAGATGGCAACCTGATTTTGCACTTGTTCTTTGGCAAGGGGCCAGCTTTCAGGTTCATACTAAATGACTGGAAGAGATCTTTCACTTAGTCTAAGCTCACATTATCAGTTTTAAAGTCTGACTAATTACTCACTGATCACATTGAGAACACTCTGAATTGCTACACTGGCCAGTCCTCAGAAGCAGTAGAAGAAGTAGAGCAGTGAGTCGTCCACTTCAAAAGCAGGCATTCAAATTTGCTTTCTTGCAAGCAGCAGAACATCCCCTGTCCTGTACTTCATGGCCAGAGAAATTATCAAAGTGTCTAAAAAAAAAGATAATGGCTGTGATTTTGTTATATGTTACTGATTTATTTTCTGCTTCCCCTGGAAGGTATGCCTCTCTGGAAAGCCAACTGGGTGCTAATAATATGGGCCAACGACCTTGGTTAGTCGTGTTTGCTGAGACATCAAAGCTTATGATTGTTATCTGTGTCTTTCTGTTAATCTACTGCTCTGGTGTCTCTAACTCATTGGGCAGTATCAGCCGGCTTTGATGGAGGAGCGGTGATTTCAGTATTACGTTTTAAAAGATTTTTATGAAAGTTGATGCTGGGAAGAGGTGAAAGGGAAAGGAATGAAGAGTTCAGCTAAGAGTACCCGCCAGCAGGCTAATCGTCATGTCCCATCAGCAATATCATGTGTTGCCTACTCTGCAGGTTCCTCTTCCTTCTCTTTCTCAATTAGAAGAGGAATGTGGACTAGATAAGATATTTTGCAGCTTGGACTTTGGGAGGTGGAAAGTATCCAGAGGTATTATACCAGGAAGTGTAATTAATATGGGAGGGAGCTGGGGCCGTAGCGTGAAAAGGTGAATACTCCACAGCAAGGACAAAATACTGGTTTGGGGAGCCAGAGAGGAAGAATGAGGTTCTTTGAGTAACAATGTACTGGGAATCTGTAAGCAACCAGGATATCTCAGTTGTGGTAATGAAGTGGGTTGCAGTTCTTGAGTCTTGTCTCATTCATTTTTGTACTCAAGAAATCCAATTTGTGCTCTCAGACAGTTGTGAAAATGTCACAGAAGTAGTGGAAGATGACTTCCAAAATGTTACATAGCTGAAGACTTGTGATTTGTGTGATATTAGATTGTCCTGAAATGAGTTGTCAGGTCAACAGTATGGTGTCAACATGTTTGGAGAGTTCTGGAGCAAGGCTTCATCTCTGTCCTTACAATGTGGCATGAAAGTGTGAGACATGCCATCAAACACTTCTAATGTCAGGAGATCTGTTCTGCTGCGCTGTGGTCTCTTAGTTTCCGGGGTAGAGTTTCTTCTTGCGAACTTTCCTGATATTTTCTTTTTAGCAGAATCGTCTCTGGTGTTGGGGCAGGGTCACTGGAATTAGAAAATGAGGAAGGAAATTCACAGTCATCCGTGGAAGACTGGAGAAGTTATTTAGGCTGTGAATTCTGCAGACAGGGCCCATCCTTATATTCTGCATTTGGACATTGCTTAGCGTAGCAGATCCTGCTCTTAGGATGTGGTTCCTGGCCACTGCAAGTCAGATGATACAAGGTAAAGGTAAGGGAGGAGTTCCCTCATGATCTCAGTTGGGTTGGGGGTAATCTGGAAAGAGGGGAGAGGTTTGGCTTGTGTTTTGTTACACTGGAAAATGTACTGGTGGATACGCTGTTGTGCTTACAAGCAATAGGGTTGTTTTGATTTTGTTCCATATCCCCACCTCCTCCCCTGCCCAAGTGAAATAAGCAGGTAACTTCAGCACTTGGTTTGTGACAAAAGAAAACTCATTTCCAACAAACTTTCACCTTTGCTTCCTTTTCCCTTCTGTCTTCATTCTTCTTCTCTTGGTACTAGCACAGCATTAGATGCATAATGGAGCACAGCGTGTGGCAGCATTAACATGAATAAGTATCGCATGTAGAAAACCTCCGATTTTTCTCATCACTCTTTTGAGATGCAGGTTAAAAAGATTATTTAAAAAAAAAGTTCCCTGCACAAGCAGGAGACTTAAAGCTCACCCAGGCCTGAGTTTCTAAATTCTTTGAAGAGCTACTGCGTAGAAAAGAACAGCTGTCTTTGTAAGCCCCACTACTGGAAAGGTGCTAGTAAGTGAAGACAGCATTGAATTCTGCAAGAGCTACTTGTCTTTCTAGGTGGTGGAGTCTGCGCAGATAGCATTTCTGTGCACTGTTTTGAAGGCAGAGTGGTCCCTTGGTGAGCTACATTAAACATCCTGACAGGCAGCTGTGGGAGAAGCTCTGCACCAGTTTGGGCTGTTCTTTTGTTGTAATTATTGAACCAGAAAATTTTGGAGAACTAGCTTACCACATACTAAGAAAAGTAAAGGAAATCACAATAAGCGAAGTTTTCTTTTGTAATACTGTCGTAATCTGATACGAAGAACTAAACTAGATATATTAAAAAAGTCAAGGCTGTGATTTTAAACCATTCCTACCTTTCCCAAAGGATGAAAAGTCACACTGAGCTCTGCATAAAAATTTGGCATAGATGCAGAGATACTCTTTACTGTACAAGAAAATTACTTGGAAAACATCTGAACACATCTTCTCTTAGCTTCATTTTTCCATGGAGCAAATTTTGATAAGTGGAAAGATTAGCGTCCCCCTCTAGTCACCCCATCCCCCCTTTACTCTTTTGGAATAGTAGTTGCATGTATGAAAATAAAAGAACCAACAAGAACTAGAAAACCTGTCCCTTCCTTTAAGTTTTACAGACCAGACATAATTTTAGTGCATCTGTGAGCTGAGTGCTTTAAAATAGGCCCTTCACTCATCTGTCTTTTTCCCTGCACATACTTACTGTACTTTGGTGATTTAAATTGAACAGAAATTAATCTGCTGCCTCTTCACAATAACTTTGTGAAGCCAGCATGACTAAGACACAGTGAAATTAATCCTATTCCTTCTGGTTCCTCACCAATACAACTCTCAGCTGTTGACCATCAAAAGGACCTCCTTTACCAGCAGCCTAAAGTACTCACAGTACTTTTTGCTGTTACCAAATCATGAATTATTTCACAGCAATAAAAAGTACTTAAATGTATCATACATACCTTTACTGGTGTACTAAATCTTAGGACCTCTCTGTATGTGCAAGTCAGCTGTATGGACTCCTATGAGAGT